TACGGACACCCTAGTAGTCACTTATTTGCTACTATTTCTTAGCCATATCATCCTGATTCTACCCTTTGTCCCATCATAGAAATTGACACATCACACATGGCTGCAACAGTCTCAACGTGATGAAGAGCCAAATCAGTTTCCTCCTCCGTCTTACACATGACCTTGCTTCCTGTCATGTCACAAAAGAAGAAAACAGTCCCTTTCTCTGTAAGATTGAACAGAGTCAAGCCATAAAAGAAAATGGACAAGCTGATTTTTTCATCATGAAATTTTGTGTTTTGAAATAGTTACTAAATATGTAATGTTTAGTCCAGCAGCCAAATGGTTATACCCCAGAGTTGTTTACATCATTGCTTCACTCATGGTTCAGTGCCATGATGGCATAAAAGATATCTTAGAAAAAGCCGGATACATAGTAATGCCTAATTAACAGATGGTCAAAGCAATTATCAAAAAACATGAAGAGCAGGTTAACCATTGTTACATCCCAAATCTATGAGAACATCTGTAAATAATTATCTGTAATGGGGTGTTTAGAGTACACCTGCTTTGGTTGTACTGGGGTGTGGTCGAGAGTGGATGTTCGCATCCATTTCGAGGCTTCTTGTACATTGTATTTTCTCTCTTCTATAAAAGTATGCCTTTGGCGTACTCTCAAAAAAAAAGAATATCTGTAAATTGTAGAAGAAAATGGCGCAGCTATGAAAAGAAAACAAAGCTTTAACCTTGGTGTAGTAAAAACTAAAAGGTAACTTATCCCTACAGTCTAATAACAGAACAACACATGAGTAAACAACTTGCTGTTTTCTGTAAAGGGTGAATTTCATTGGCAGCATGTCTGAACTATCATAATAAAATTAGCCAGGCCTCCTAAATTTTGTTACTCAAGAAATTTTGCTATGCATTTTTGGAAGAGAAGAGCACCATTTCAAATTCACAATACTGCGTGATAGTTTGTTTCTCGAGCCTAAACAAAAGCAAAACTTCCTCTAGACACTTGCTTAATGTAAGAGCGGAACAAACTTTCATAATTTCAAACTGAAGATTTCAAAGTCATACACATGGCAGATAATTCATACTTTAGGAGGAAATTAGTTTGCCTCCAAATCCAACAACAATCAACAAAAATACACATGGAAAATGGCATTTAATAGTACACTGTAAACAGAACACTGGATGGATAATGATACTAAAATGTGTTTACAAAGGTCAACAGAATACAGATCTTACCAACGAACAAAGATGAAGTGATGAACTGACCGGTTTCAGTGAAGTGGCTAATGTCATGACCTCGGTTTTCTGCTGAAGCAACTCATTTTCTCTTTCAGATAGCTGAACTGCTAAAATACCCACCTATGGAAAGTACCAAAATATTGAAGTGTTTACAAACAAAGAGATCATTTAGGCATGTATATATATGTAGGTCGACTGGTGGAGACTTCTTTGAATAAAAACTCACCTGCTACTATTTTTTACACAATGAAACTGTACGTGCTCCTTAAATATGTGCAAGCTAGTTGTGTATTTCATCGATTGTCAAGAGAGAAGGCATCGAGGAAGGAACCAACCTGGACATGATGATAGATAGGCTAAGAATTTAAATTGTGAATGAAGTGTACTATGATTTTCATCAAGGTCCGGTATTTCTTGTATATATCAGCAAGAGCACATCAAGTGCTTCTGAGTTTGAACAACATGTTAAACTAAACCAGCATTCCTTTCATCCAAGAAATGGAATGGAAAGTAATGGGGAGATCGAGAGTAAGCATGACTCACCACGGTATATCAGAGATGCAGGTCCTGAATTAGTTGGACTTGAGGGCGAGGAATTTCTTCCACCTGAGTGCGAGGAGATGTACCCCCAAATTCGTACCACTACCATAGACCTGCACGTGCGTAACATCATGGCAGCAAATTACAGTTTTCTAAAATATTGGCAATGTAGCATCATGGCTGCAAATTACATTGCGTACAAGTGGGGTCAGAACAAAAGCTACAGTCAAAAATGGGGCCCAAAATGGAAATACAATCCAAAATAGAAAATCAATGAAAAGTTGAAAACTGTAGTAAGATGAGGATTTGCACTTGGCAATGTAGCTTACCTACAACTGAGGTTTGAACAAAAGCTACAGTTATAAGCACATGAGTTGGTTGTAGAACTGATCTAAATACTTCACCATTGATTAGTATCTCGTTGAGAGTTCACCTCTTCTGGTGCCACAGACCAGCACCCTCGGCGCTCTCCCTGGCTAGACAAAGCATGCTCGTATTGATCAATTCCGCAGTTGTATAGCTACAGTTTCCGCCCCTCTTGGTTCCTCGTTCGCCACAACCCGCCTAATTCCTGCTGTGTGAGTCAGCAAGCAACAGTGCTCACCTTCATCCAAATACATAGATTAAAAAGACCAATATGGGGATGAAAGGCCGCATAGTATGCTGCTCGGAGAACATATGAACCTAACTTTGCTTCAGAGGTAAAATTAGCAATTCCTAGTCATTATCTGCTTTGACTGCAGTACCAAATTATCAGTTGAACTAACTTAAAATTTATAATTGGTGCAATACCTATATAAATTGAGAAGGCGGTGAAGTCCAACTATTAGATCCAACATCACTGAATCCTTGAGATCTTAAACGTGACCTACTTGCTCATAGTTCCGACCTACTTGCTCATAGTTAAGATGATTACCATCTGCAAGAGGACATAAATAGTTCAACGGAGAAGAAATTTGTCAGAATATATATGTGTGTCATGGCCGAAAGCTTATGTAGCAAGGTTCTTCATGCATGCAAATCTCCCAAAAATCAATCCATATACCTGTTTCCAACCACTGGTACGTGCATGTTGCTATAACCGAAAGCACTTCTGACATAGCAACATTGACCAATCACTACAACACCTAAATCTGTTTGCTGTTGGAAACCTCTTAGGGATCTTAAACTCAACTCTAAAATTAGTCAAAGACCTTCTAAGATTAATATTTCACTTAATGGGATCAACTACAAAACTCAGCTAGATTGATTTGTACAGCAAATTGCAAAGAAGATTACTTATATCAATCAATAAGTGTAAAAGGATGTGGCCAGTTTGATACATCAGACTTTTTATGTTCAGTCAGGATATGGCCAGATCGATTCATCACAATAAATTCCAGTGGAAAGGGCACTCCGAACCAACAAAAACATGAACCGTGATACGGCTGGCCGGTTGTAGATCGCCACTGGCAAATATCTCCCGGTTAAAGTGAAGCGTGTATCAGCACTACACTGAAAATATCAAATGTGAAGCAACACTACACTGAAAAAAATATACTGGACCTCGTGAGATATTGAGAGAACAGAATCACAAGCATCAACTTGGAGGATCAGAGAGATACATGGTGAAAGTTAGTCGGCTTGATGGCGAGGGCCTCACCGTATAGGTGGCCACCGTCGAAGTGGGGGATCAGAGTCAGCCGCGACGGAAGCCGAGTTCAGCGGCGACGGCGGAGGAGCGGAGGGTCGGCGGCAGAGGCCGACTGGAGCGGGGGGCGACGGGCAATTGGAGCGGCGGCGGAGTGGAGGATCGGCGAGTGGCGGTGGTAGCCCGTGCTGGCGCGTCCACTGGGCAACACAGAAGGAGCGGGCGGCGGCAGAGGCCGACTGGAGCGGGCAGCGACGGGCGATTGGAGCGGCGGCAGCAACCCGTGCCGGCGCGTCCGCTGGGCAAGGAGCGGGCGGCGCACCGTGCACAGGAGGAGAGGGCGGAGGTTACACAGGAGAAGCAGGATAGAGATCGTGGTTCGTTCGTGCGGAGTAGTTTTCTTTAACGAAGAGGCATCTACTATCAGTCGACGGGTTAGTGGCTTGCTAGCGTTAAACACAGAGAGATTGTGAACCATTAGATCGTGTGATTAGGCGGCTGAGATTATTTGGATCTGCCTCTTTCTTTTTTTTATAGGGGTAGTAGATATATATATGAGCGCTTGCGTCTGTACTACGTACAAAAACCCAACCCAACTGTCCTCGCGCAACACGAGGAGGGCCTGTTCCGAATGCAGAGTAGGGTTTCGGTGGGCCTCCGGTCGCGACGCTCGCACGCACGCGGCAACGCGGAGGCACACAACGAACCACCTCCGGCAAATACAAAAGGGAACGCGACGGCGGCAGATTTGCGCCTTCCTCGGCCTCCCGCTGCTCGCTAAAATCAAAACCCGTCGCCAAATAAACACCGCGCCGAATCATCCCCTTTCCCCCAATTCCCCCTTCTCCAAAACAAAAGCAGCAGCCGCAAACCTATAGTTATCGACGACAAGCAGCAGCAGCAGCCGCCGCCGCCGCCGCCTCACTTGTCATCGGCGGCTGTCCTCCTGCTGCGCCGCGCCCCGGCCCGTCGTCGGCGCGAGACGACGCCTCATCCTTCGCGCGTATGGCGTCCTTCCCCTTTCCAGTTCACCATGACCTTGCATCTCTGCTTACCCGGCTGGATTCGGTAGGGTAGGGACGATCTGCTGGCGGTAGAGTTAGCTCACCAACTCGGGGCTAGGGTTTTCGGCTAGCCAGTTTCGATCAGCGCGTCTCCGCCTGCCTAGTTTTTCCTGTTCAGTTCCGATCTATTTTTAGTTTGTTTGGGTTGGGGATGGAGGGTTTGCAATCGAAGGTGTACTGCAACGTTGAACAATACGTACAAGATACATCTCGCAAGATCGCTGGCTATTTGGTCTGGTTCGTGATTCCACTGCGCGTTTGTTCTGTTCCCTTTGTTTGATCAGGACGAATCAATCTTATTTTCTAGTTTTTTTTCCCATTATTGTATGACCTGGGATTGGGCCTGTTTTTAACCTGCAGAATTAGCTGTGCAACAAACATATTTTGCATCGATAACAAGGAATGCTGAATTATGAGTTTCATGGATGAAAAATCCTTCTCATCACACGCTAATGTGCTATAACGAACATTTATTATGACTTAGTACAGATTTGTTTCTGATCCATGTCACCTGTTCATGTTGCAATGTCAGGATGAGGCTCCCCTTCAGGCAAGACACGGACATGGCAGGTGCGATCTTCATGTGCAGCACCAGGGCAAGGGAGCAGTTCTTTGTCTCAGGCGTTTTCAGAGTTGCTTTAGAGTATCAGCCCTTTGTCGACAATGTCAAACAAGGGATGCCTCTCTTTCTCTTTGACTACAACGAACGCAAGCTTTACGGGGTGTTTGAGGCTGCCTCTGATGGTGGACTGGATATTACTGACAGAGCTGCTTTTAGATCTTCTGGCCACTCATATCCTGCACAGGTAACCTGCATCAAACATATGCCTCTTCAGTTCAAATTTATCAAAATATAGGGTCTTCTGAGTTTAATATCTCTGAAAAATAACACTTTATCGTTGGAAATTTTGTGACCGCTCAAATATTTGTCAATTGTTTGGTTTCAAACTTTTAGTGCCGTGAAGATGCTCTTTCTGATTTTTTAATCACACGAGACACAGGGGCTTAGACAATTTATTGCACTTCTCAAACAAATGTTTGGGTGGAATAAAAGCAAATGACCAGTTAACCCCAAAGTCACAAGCTGAACATTCAAGACTATATTTCTTGGCATAGCTTGCGTTGTCTTCAGTGTTGCGTTTGTACACATGCATCTAAGTTTTGACACTTCACATCAATTAATAATTAAGATAGCTTTGACAAAAGATCATGTAAGGTGCCCAGCAAAAAATAAGACTATTGACACAATGGACACAAAGTTGTCTGTCATTACATACCCGTTATAAATGAGTGGTTTCTTCAGCCATCTGGGAACATTCTTAAAAAACAAAGTATGACATTGGACGAACAGGTTGATATACTTCTTTTTTTTGGGTTCATGGTTTTCAGTTACACAGTTAAAAATGTGAAAACTTCTTGTTAAGAAAAAAACCCTGCATTTATTACAGTACTAGGCAGTCGTTTGAATATAAAATACCCTTTATAATTCGTTCTGGGTTCTGGGAACTGTTTCTTTATTGTATGTGTGTGCTACTGTAAGAATTATTCATTTGTTTTTTTCTAGGTTCGATTCAAAATTATTTGGAAGTGCAGACCACTTGCAGAAGATGAGTTCTCTCATGCCATAAAAGAGAATTACTATACGATGTATAAATTCTATTTTGACCTTTCCTACCAGCAGGTTTGCTTTACTACAGAACTTGGTTAAAAGTTAAAATCCATGATTTTTAATTGCATGGCTATAATCACACAAACTTGTTCTTACTGACAGGTTGTCCAGCTATATGAGTTGTTTGATAATAAGAGGGTAGAGCAACCTATTCGCAACTACACCATAAGTGCTCATTCGAAAGAAGGCCACTTCAGTAAAGGGAGACCAGACAAAAGGAGTTTGACTCCAAATATTTCTCCCATTTCTACTGATCAATCACACACTTTGATTGTAACAGCTGGAACAAACTATTCTGCTCCTACAAGGATGCGTGGAACTGTACCACATAATTTTGAGGCACGAACAAATCTGTCAGTGCCATTGGTAAGTAAACCTGTTGGAGTCCAAATTGATCCCATCCACAGCAGCCATCATGTTCAAAAGATATTACCTTATCATAACAATTCACATCTCCAAGATGTTTCGACAGTAGATGGCATTTCAACTCAGGTATATGCTCCCTGTTCTCAGACAAATGGATATCACCAAGATCAAGTTGTTGCAAATCAATCATATCCAATATCTGATGACTACATGCACAGTAGCTTGTCTTCTGGATGCATGACTGCCAGTCCAACTGATAGAATTAGGTCGTCTGAAAAGCAGTCATATGTAGGCAGTACTTCGCGATCTCTTCAACATATTACTCAGGCATCAACTGGCGGAGACAGAAACTACGTGAATTCAACTCCAAATGTCCCTTCGTATCATTTTTCTCTGGCAAATCGACAAGGCAGTGCTAACTTGAAGGACAACTATGATATCGACTGTCACCACTGCAAAGAGATACACACATCTGAGCATCAGCACTTAAGCAAGGAAAGAGCTCAAGTAGCTCCAGTATTAATCCAACAAGGTATTCCTGCATACCCTGAAGTTCCTGAAGTATCAACAATTGGTCAACGGAAAGATGATTTTAGTGATTACATCCCGATTGCTGATTGTGCTCAAGATTTTGATAATGATTGGTGGAAACATGGCTCCTATCATAGTGTTTCTAGTTCACTGGATCGTCGAAATGTTATTGGAGCCAGCATGTCAGATCAATTACACACAAATCGTGAAATAGAAGCTGAAAGTAACACAACATTAGTTCCTGGTCAGTGCTCACAAAACAGTGTGTTTTCTCGCTTATCGATGAAGCAACAACCTCTTCAAGAAGTTGTTGGCTCACAAAACAGTGTGTTTTCTCGCTTATCACCGAAGCAACAACCTCTTCAAGAAATTACTGGTCCTTCACTCAGTCAAATGCTTAATTCACTTTCTACAAGAACAAAACAATGGAGCAGTGGGAATAGTACACATATTTCTAAAGAAAGAGAGATTAGAAGTGAGAACAGTACACTTATTTCTGAAAAAAGAGAGATCAGAAGTGAGAACATGACACTTATTTCTCACAAAAGAGAGGATAGAGCACTTGCTTATGATGCTGGCAAACAGTTGGCTGTTGAACAGTCCATTGACATAACCTGTCCTCTTGCTGAGCTAAACCTGCCAAACGTAGTAGAAGGAAAAGAAAGTGCAGAGCCTCCCTTCTTAAACTTCAAGAGGCGCAGCGAAACAGTGCAGCTGGATGGCAACTTAGGAAAGGAGACTAGTGGAAAAATGAAGAGGAGAAAGCTTGTGCGCCCTTCCTTTGGGGAGAATAACAACTCTACTAATTCTGGAAAAGAGATCGAAGTGAATGGAGCAGAGGACAGGAAACACCCACATTTCGACGCCGATGGGAACAAGTTCAATATTGACCTGAACAAACCGGCATCCACAGACAATGATGTAGTGAAGGAGGATGGTAGCACTATACTGTGTCCTGTTGATATCAACATACAAACTGAGAAGTCCTGTGAAGTAAACACCGCACACAAGCTGAATTTTTCAGATGCTATGGAGGTAACTGGGAAACAAGATCACCCTGTGGAGAATGCCGCACAAACTGGTGGTAAAGTTTCACTTGATTTGAGCATTGCAGATTTGGATGCGATGGACAAGTCTAAGCTTCAAGCAATTCTTGATTCACCATGGTTGCAAGCACTTGACAAGCTGAGGAATTGCAAGTCCAACAACTCTGAGGTGGCTGGATCAAGCACTTGTGGTGATGACAATACATTGAAAATGGAGACGAACCCTGATGGGAGCACCTAACCTAGGTGTACCAAATCTGTTACTGATGTAGCAGCTTCAGTCTTGTACTGTCATGAATTGCTCCAATTGGATTATTCTTCTCCAACTGCTACTACAGAGGCAGGAGGTAATCCTCCTTTTTGGGATTTTTTTGTTTTTTGCCACTACTGAAGAAGAACCCAGTTGCAGCAAGAAGAACCCAATTGGAGCAAATACCATACGAGTACAAGACTGTAGCCTTTAATGTCCGGTATCATACACAGGAATAGTTACATGTGTTTTGGAGGTAAAAGTTGTCGGAGGGGTTGACTCAATGGGAATAATTTCCCTTGCCCCAGAACTCATGGTCCCTAATCATCGTAGATCTCTTGGATGCTACCTTATATGAATGTATATGAGATATACTCCATATGAAAGATGATGTTTTGGCAGTACATTTGGATGAAATCTTGCGTTATTTTGTGCTAACACTACCCTTAGTAGCGTAGTATCACTCCATCTGGATTGTTAGAGCAACCCTAGCAGATCTATCTGCTAAAACCTCGCTGGCCCTTATAACTCTGGGCGTTTTTACAGGATTTGCTCTTTTTTCGTCCCGAGGCCTGGTCCGTAATTATCCCCTCTGCCGCTATATTTATTGGATAGAGTTCGATTTAGGGTTTGCATCTGGCATTTCCTCCACCCGCCTCCGCCGCAATCCCACCAACTTCGGCAACCAATTCCCTACTCAGGCGGTTGATTCTCGTGCGCGCACACACTTTTACAGTAGATCCATGTCCGGCGAAGGTCATTAGTGTGGGGGCCGCGGCGGCTCACCACCGCACAAGCGCCCCCGACACGACGCCAAGGCCAGCAGCTCCAGCCAGCCTCCAGTTGAGCCGTGGCTCGCGAAGCAGGCCAAAGAGCACGACACCCTCTCCCGTACCGGCGGCTGCCGCGCGGCTCGAGGCGGCGAAGGAGGGGTACGACCTCGTGTACGTTCTCTACAAGTCGGCGACCGAGTACTACCTAAAGGTGAAGCGCTAAACTAGTTTAGATTAGGTTTTATCTAGTATGTTTTTAAGTTTGTATGTTTGAATGTATGAACTCTGGTGAACTATGGTGGCGCGAACATTAAGTTTCAAATATGTAGTATGGTTTTACAAGATCTGTTCTGCCGTGCCTTTCGAAGTAATGCAAATTCGTTTTATAAATTCAAGTTTGTTGCTCTAATCACGGGGTTAGTTTTTTTTTATTTGAGCGATAATAGTGGGGCTAACGATTTACACAGCCGACCGGCGAAGCGATCGTGCCGGTCGCTTGTCCTTGCGCCAGGTGTAAGTTGAAGTTGAAGAAAAGAGATTTGACGACTATTTTTAAGGCTGATCATGCGGCTGCGGCCAAATCCAACCAAATGGGTCGGTCTTAGCACGTCGACCTGGTAGCATGTTTATATAATCAGGTCGTGCTGGCATGTGACCCATCTAGGGCCGTGCCTGGGCCGTGAGACTTGGCACGAGTGCGGGCATCGCACGACCATTTATTTATTTTTATACAACCTAATAGGCTTAATATAGGTCGAAAACAACCCAATAGGCTGAATTCTGTGCGGGCTGGCGTGCGAAACGAGCCGCCGTGCCAGCCCGTGTAACATAGGGGCTGTGCCTGGGCCGGGGAGGGCAGCATGTGTGCCAGCCCGACACGGGCCTTGTACCTGCTGTGTCCAGCCAGTCCGTGCAGTGTTTGGCACATATAACTCTAGTTGTGTCGTGCCGGGGTGACCCATTTGGCTAGGCCTGGCTGCGGGGCGACTGACCGAATCTGTCCCTAATCGCCCTAATCGTAGGGTTGATCTTGGCCAATGTCTGTTAGTTGAAGACGCATACACCTTGGGGTGTGCATTTGGTTTTTTCGGTTTGAATCGGTTTGGTTTATACAGTTTATGGTTTATATGTCTTTTATATTTTGGTTTATACGGTTTTATACATAGATATAGTGCAGTTTTGGTAATAAGCATTTACTTTCGGTACGTTGGATAAGCAGTCATTTTGGTTAACTATTGTCGCCCATTACGCTTTTTTGAACTAAAAAAAGCCTTAATTTTGGTTAATTCGGTTTAATCAAATGATCTTTGGTTTCTAATCGGAAAAACCGAAATGCAAATGGTTTTCAGATTTCAAAACTGAAACTGAAATTAAAACCTGAAAAAACCAAAGTTTTGGATCAGTTTTTGTTTTCTTCAGTTTTTGGTTTTCGGTTCCATTTTGCACACCCTGACGTATACCCCTTCGAGAAAAGAAGTTGAAGACGCATACCGGAACGGATCTAGGGTAATCTTCTCAGTCGACCCGTCCCCGATCTGAAATACATGGATGCCGCCGGCGTCGACCGGCTGAGCGACCTGACGGACTGCCTGCTCCACGCCATCCTCTCCCGCCTGAAGGCCCGGCAGGTCGTGCAAACCTGCGTGCTGTCGTCGAGGTGGCGCCGCCTCTGGCTGGCCGTCCCGTGCCTCGACATCGACGGCGGGGAGGACCAAGAGGAGGAAGATGAGGAGGAGCGGCACAAGAAGCTGGACGATTTCGTCGACAACCTCTTGCTTTGCCGTAGCACCTGCGCCTCCTCGCCGCTGCACACCCTTCGGGTGAGCGTCGCCTCGCCGCGGCCTCTGTGGAGGCGGCTCCACCACGACCGCGGTTCTTCCATCTGCGCCGCGCACACCAGATGGGTTAGCCGTGGCCTCGAGAGCTCCCCGGCGGTGCTCGAAGTACGCGGCATCAAGCTGCCTTCGTTCGCCTCAGGCACCCACCGCCTCACCAAGCTGGTCCTTCAGGACGTGATCCTCCACAAGGATTTCGAGAAGCACCTCTTCGCCTGGCTCACACTCCTCCAAGACTTGGAGATCAGAAGCTCGGACATGTCCAATCTCTCAAGGATCGAGTCCAACACGCTCAAGAACCTCACAGTTGAGGCAGGCACCATCTTCAACTTCGAGGTCATAGCCCCTCGGCTCGCCTCGCTGCACCTTGCCGTCCAGTTCCGTGGCCTCCGAGCCTTCTCTGTCATCGTACAGGAGGCGCCTGATCTTGTCCAAGCATCCCTCCGCTTATTGGACAACCCTCTGCCGGCGAAAGAATATCCCTTTGTTTTTCAACAGGACCCAACTTTGTTGCCACCGATGCTATGTAGATTTCTCTGCTCTCTATCCAACGTCAGGAGCTTGGAGCTGTCAGGATTCCGTGATATGGTTTGTTCCTTCCTTCAGTCTTGTGCTTGCTTCATTTGTATGTAATTTCCATTCGTTCAACTGCATAATGCAAGTGCACACTAACTAACCCTGTTCTTGTCTCTGCAATGTAGGCACAACATATTTCGCCACCTCCTCCACCTGGTGTTCCTTGGCCTGCCGAGTACCAATTTCAAATAATGGTGCCAGGAAGTGATAAATCTGCCCCATGTCCTATATTGCAGGCGATACTTGATGAGGAGCACGATAGATTACCAATGTTCCGCAATCTAAGAACCCTGGTCCTTGAACAATGTGAGATTGGTGACAACATTCAGACGTTGTGTAGTTTCCTGCATAATACGCCTGCCCTCGAGAAACTTACTCTGAAGAACTGTGAGGTAACTATATTTAACTTCACTTGATTTGTCTAACTGAAGGACCTTACCTCCAAATTTATTTGTTTTGCTCCTGTGTGCAGTGCCAAAACGTTCCATCTAGTTCAGCGTCCAACATTTTGGAGATGGGATTTATGACCTCCAGTCTCAGCCTAATACAAATCCAGTACGATGACAGGGATGATCATGAAGGCCAAGGTACTCGACAAGTTGACAATGTTGTGTCCATGGTGGAGAAGAACATGCCAGTGACTGCAATGATCCATGTGACCAAAGTCAGGAAAAATTAGAATCCTCTTTTTAGCTGTTCATGGAATCATTTTGTCCATAGATATTTTTTGGGGTATATTTGGTGAATATTTCTAAATAGAGTTTACTCCAGTTTTTATGTCCAAAAAATTCTATTTTTTACGCATTTTACCCGCCCTAGCCTGGCGCAGTGGTAGAGTCTCCACTTGTGGCCTGGAGGTCCCGAATTTGAACCAGCCTCGTTTAGAACTTATGCAAGGGTATGACTGTCTAGAAATTTCCTTTCACAGACCCCACTTTGTCAGGGAGTTTTCAACATTAGATACGCCCTTTTATTTTACCCGCCCCGAAGTTTAATCTTGGTCAGGATATATACCCTTAACTTTGTATTTTGGCAAGAATTATCCCCGACATAAATCCCCATGTGACTCCATTTCGGTACATCAACAAACCAGACACATGCCCTATGTACCTGTCTAGGGCTGGACCAAAAGCTCGTAGCTCGCGAGCTTAATGAGCGCTCGATAGTTCGGCTCGTTATGCTCGTAGCTCACTTCTTAATGAACAGAGCCAATCATTGATTTTAGCTCGTTAAGCTTAACGAGCTTAACAAGCGAGCTAACGAGTTTCACGAGTAGCTTGTTAAGCTCGTTAGTAACAACACAACACATATTTTCATCTTACGTGACAAACTTTTTGTAGCACCTCAGCCCATCTATTTAATCTAATCGACATATAAGGCAATATACTACTTCATTTCTTTTTGTAGTCAACCATATTTCATCTTGAAAACCATACCTACATATTCATCATGTATATCACAACACATTATAATCTGTTAACGAGCGCTCACGAGCTTAACGAGCTTCAAACGAGCCGAGCCGAGCAGAGTTTTTCTGCTCGTTAATCTTAACGAGCTTAACGAGCCGAGCCTTAACGAGTACGAGCTTAACGAGCCGAGCTGCTCGTTAGTCCACCCCTATACCTGTCCCACATAGGACTAATATAGTGGTTCCAAAATTCAGGATGGTCAGAATGGGCACTATTTTGCCAGGGGTTAAAGTATGTCAATTCCGGGTAACAAAGAGTGACCAAGCTTGAACTTAGGAAATCCTCAAAAAAAAAAAAACCTCACAATGTTTAGAGCAACTCCAATAGCTCCTGTATCC